GCGGTGCAGTGGAAATTTTTAATTAATGTCGATTTATAAAACAAATTAACACTTAATTGAATTTATTTCATGGATTCTTTCAAAATGAAATATTCGTTGCATTTGAAATCGATAAGGTCAATTCGATCCGAAATTGCAAATTTTCTAATCAAGTTAGAAATTCTTTGTTTCGCACATTTTTAATGCAAAATTCCTTTTTAAATTCCAAATTAATTTTCAACTCAAAAATTATGAAAATTATTTCGAAAATTTGCAGCTTTTTGCAGTACTCTGTGCTAACGAAGAAAAGTGTAAACGTTCGAAAAAAAAATTAACACGTGTTAAAAGATTTAAATCGAATTTTCCATTCGAATTGAGCCGTGAATGCACATTTTAAAACACATGAGTTTTTTTTCATCTGGCGCATTTGGTTGGAAATTCCCGCCAAAGTTATTAAATAATGCAAAATGGCGTTCGACGACATTATAAAAAAGCCAGCTAACAAATGAGCCATATAAATCGAAATTAACTACATTATCCAGCAATACACGCTAAAACTAACAAAATTATACAGTTGTACCGTTTATCGCTTTAAAAATGAAACCCTATCATACATAGCAGAAGTCATCATTCATTATGTTGAAATCGAAAAAAAAATTCAGTTGATTTCATAACGGCCACCTATTCTTCCTGCTTGAATAATCGTTACCCATTGAAATGTATGTTGTTGTTGTTGTTGTTCATCACAAATGGTATAGAAAATCTGTGCATATCGCATTAAAATAATAACAAAAAAAAGACACATCATTGGCATATAATGTAACGAATATTATCCCTTTATTTTGTTCCGCTGATCCGCCAAACAGTCGACAATGACTCGACTAATGCAGGCACGATTGATATGTTGAACAGCGCGCGACGCACACACACACAAGATTGGAATGGAAATGAAAATGAACCAGTAGAATGTCGTGGCATGTAAAAGTGCGAAGCGAATGAAATTACGCGAACGAGGCGCATACACACGCACACGAAGGACGACGACAACAACAGAATACAAAAAACCAACAAGCGAAATATGAAAAGATAGGATGTGTTAAAAAAGTGCGCAGGGGTAGAAGCAACGCAGTAAAAAAACACACCAACGAGTAGCAGCTTTGATTTGAGTGGCGTGCCTGTATGTGTGACCGAGCACATTTTTGAACGTTTTCACGTCCCAATGCCGCAGATTTCGTTCTGTGTATGTTGTGGCACGGGAGGAAGGATGAAAATTGAATGTGTAGAATGAATGAATAGAGAAAAAACAGAAGAAGACGACAGCACACACATTCGGGCAAAAAAAGGGTTCCGTTCGATGCTATGTTCCTATTCGTTGATTCGCTGTTATTATATTACACATATTTGTGTTTACGATTATAAAAAAACATATTTTTTTTGGCGCGCACGAGTTAAGCACGCTCCGATTGTGATTTGGGAGAATGAAGAAGATGAAGAAAGAAAAAAAAACGCAAACAGTACAGCCCGCACCAGGTAAACAGATTTCTGTTTACTGTGTTGATTTCATGTAATTTTTAATTCCGTTACAAGAGCATCAACATCATTTTCTCCACGTCTTGTGAATTGGTGATACATCACGATGGCGGAAAATACATTGACTGACGTATCGAATCTGCTTTTTCTTTATTCTTTTCCATTCTGGAAAAACGTCCTTCAGCAATTTTCTTTGCAACTCTTGTTTGCTCACTTCACAAAACCAATATTTTCTTTCTGCTCGCATCAAGAGAAAAGGAAAGAAAACGATACGCCCGAGCTGAAGGCAGCAACAAAAAAATCGGTTAATAAATGAAATTGCTGCCTGATGATATTTTTTAAAATCATTTCTCAAAAGAAACTCAATTCAGCGAGAATTTTCGATGGGAACAACAACAAAAAGAAACCTTTGTCGATAAAAGGCGAAATTTAGCGAAAGAAAATGTGATTTGATTAAATTCGAAAATGGCGATGGAAACTGGAAAATTGCACACATGCAAAAAGAAGAGCGAAAGAGATTCACTGACCGCTGCTGCTGCTGCTGTCGTTGCTGCCATGGTCGCTTGCTGGACCAAAAGACTTATTATGAAATTTATTAGGGTAATATCGATCGTTGAATCAAGTTGCGCGCATGCCATGTTTGACCATTGTATATGCATTATGAGTTCGTTCGTCTGCGATGAATGCGGCGGCGGACAAGAGAGAACAAGAGAAAAATGCCATTTCATTGTAAACGACACACACAAAACACCACACAATGGCACGAAAGAAGAAGAAGACTGCGATAGATAGAAAGAGAGCGAATAAACATTAGATAAGCCGTAAGCCACAACGTACACACATCGTAAATGTGAACGCGCTACGGGTCATTCGCATAACTCTCGGATGAGATATATGAAGTCCAGTGGCGGATAACATTAGAGATAAATCGCATGTTTTTTTTTTCGCCATCGATAGAATTGAAGTGATAATATTCAACAGAACGCTCGCTATAAACACTTAGAAAATTAAATTACTACACACATGAAATATCAATGTTCGTCTTTCGTTTAGTCAAAGTAATGGAACTGGCCAAAATGGTCTTTATGATGGCATGGATTAAAAAGTAGACTGAACTAATGCGATTGCTTGAAATTTGGAAGATTTCAATTTGAGATTTACAACTGTTTTCCATTTATGTCTTATTTTACTTTCCGAAACGACATTTGTTAGCATGAACAGCGTACACACAATTCAATCGATTAATATTCTAATGATCTTCTCCTCCAAATCAGCATATTTTCGCTTAGTTCCGAAATAATTGTTACTTACTAGCACAAAGCTGTATGGTGTATCGTTTTTATCATACACATATCCCACTAGGGATGAAACTCCGAATAATGTTCCAGTTTTAGCAAACATTTTTACTCCACGGAAACGGTGTTTCAAAGTCCCAGTAACCGGTTGAACCAGCATTAACTTAATTATTTCGAAATGCTGATCCTCATAAAGTGTCCCCAACAATTCTCCAAACTGTTCCGAAGTAAACATGTCGTATCTGGATATACCTGAACCATCAACCATTACAGACTTATCCAAATTGACACCGAATTCATCCAAAACATATTTCTTTATTAGAAGACCTGCCTTTTTTCCACTTGCTTACTGCATGGCCATCTCCAAATTTAGCGAGAATATAATCCATTACGAAACAGTCGGATATCTTCAGAGCAGCGCTAACTGTGTCATAGAAGTTTTTGTGAATTTCAACCATTTGCTTTATTCTACTTGGCTCCAAACCATATAAAATTCTACCGTTTATGTTAATACCGTTCTTTTCCAATGATTTTTTCAATGTTAATTGAATGTAGTTCGAGTTATCAAAAGGAACGGCCTCAAAAGATATTGTTGAATTTTTCTCCATAGTTTCGCTAATCAGTAGGTCAGATCATTTTTAATCGTTATCTCCAAATCGTCATTATATTCGATGGAAACAATTTGAACATTATTAATTATGTTGTACGGAATTGACTCGAAATTATTAACCCATGCACTGCTTTCGTTTGAAATCAATTGAGATTGCAAACAATTTTCATTGATGTGCACTTTGGTAATTTGCGCTCCATCACAGCATTTTGTATCTTCTATCATTTTTGTGTCCTGGATAGGTGGAAGTGAAAATGTTGAATTGACGATATAAATATTGCGAGGAACATCGGATATTTGTGTTTTAAGCGATTTCAGCAATTCATTCAGATCATTTTCACAAAATGAAGGGTCGTTGATATTCAAATATAAAATATATAATACATCACCCGTTTTGCGAAATCTTGTCAATAAATTTGTAATCATTCCCAAAATATTGGCGTAGCGCAGTGGCAGTTATTACTTTTAAAGCACTCGCAAACATATACTATCTGTTGACATTTCGTTCATAAATCACTTTGTTTGTTGATAAATCTGTTATTTTTATTCCGATATTGATATTTGAGTCGCTCGCATTAATGGCCTCTTCAATCATTTTCGGAATCGATTTTCCATAGCTCTTTGGTTCACCTTGTGCTTTCAGAGCGTTTACGTTTGATTTGCTGAAAAAATAATTGAATGGATAGTTTAGCCAAAGTTAAACTCCTTATGTATGGAATGACAAGTTCACCAAATGCAGTTAGCATAGCTGGGCTCATTTAAGTGTTTGATAATTTCGTTTCCAATCTCTAATTTATTGGCCCTCCTATTCAAATTGATTACACTTCCCTTGCTAACTCAACAGTAAATTGATATGATTGAGTCTCTAGCAGAGCTATAACTTTTTTTAAACTTTTAGTATAAAATCAATGTGAACACAATTCCATCAAATTCAAATTGGAACGACTCTAGTGAATCGCAGCACAAACCAATGAATTGTAAACTTTGCGTTTAGTTGATGTGAATTCACTACTGAACTTGTGAAATGGAATTTGAAACTTGGATTTACAATTTAATTTGTTGATCAAGTTATTTGTCATGAAATGACTGTATTTACGTCAATACGATCGTATTCGTAACTATCAGAAATTAAAACAATTGAAAACGCTAAAAATTTTGTGTATGAGCGGATTTCGTCGTAAGCATACGCTAGGCAAGTGTGTTTTGCCATACACGCGTATTCATACAACTTAGCAAATGAATGGCACATACACGAAATGTTAATATCGGCACACAATAATTTGCATGTGCACAACCTCTGCTAATTATTCGTGAATAATTTACATTTGTATGCCTACTTTGAATGAAGTGACAAAATCCAGGCTTTCGTCGTAGCAAATGCGTTGAATGAATTACTCAATTTAACCAAACAATGTTTGACCGATGAATCCACAAAATTATAACTCACCACAATCAAAATATGTGTGACCAAGCTGAATGTACGTAGAGACACACTGTATTGTGCCCCATGAAACTGAGATATACATATATGAATGGTGTGTGATTCAAGCGATTTGCTTAATTCCAAAAATTATTGTAATTTGCAGATATGCAGTGGCACCGCCCGGTAACAACTCTATCAGCCTCATCATCAGTGACAACGCAATCGACACACAACAGCAAACCGAAGCAAATGAACAGTAGCATACCATTTAGGGAGCTGCTTCTTCAACAGCAACAAAGTAAATTGTTGGCCAGCGATACGACGACAGCGACGAATGTAGCTAGCGGCGCTGGTATCGTTGCGACCACGCCAAACACTGAAATCACAGCCAATGCAATCATATCGTCGGCCGTTGAACAGGATCGCATTGCGTTGGCATCGCATTTTCAAGAGCGCGACCGATTAATACTGCAACACCAGCAACATCAATTGCAACAGCGAAAGCACAAGCAAAAACAATTGGACGAACACGAAAAGCCCTTTAGCTCTAGTAACCGCATCAGAGACTTTGTGATAGGCGGCGGCGGCGGTGGTGGTGGTGGTGTTGATCGAGTCGTCGCAAATATCGCTTCTGGGAAAACGTCCGGTAAGTGGCTCGTATGCACGTATAATGTCTGTTATTTCATTTTGTGTTTGCGTTTGTGTTCTGTTTATATTTTGTTTGCCGTTTCGTTTCGTTCTTGTGTCGGTGTATGCGTGTGTCCAAAATCATTGTAATTACGGGTGTTAGTTTGTAGCTTATGGTAAACAAGAATGTGGCAAGATCGGGTTAAGTTCCAAGTGCGATACACGCATTTGATGTACTATGTGGTGCGACAGAACGCGCACAGTTGCAGTTACAACAACCTATCACATCATAAATATCTTATGCGGCAGCTTGTTGTGACAGTTCACAGCCGATTATGTTACACACACAGCAAAATACCATTAAAGACGGCTTTATTGAGATGAATTTGCACTTGCACTGGCCCCGGTGGCCATTGTTTTGCCTTGCCTCGTCTCGTCTCGTTCTTCTCATCGCGGGTCACGCGCATTTGTTCCAATTCCGTCGAGAACTCACTCACTCGTTCGAATCGAATGACGAACACCACGTATAATTGCAAAGAAAGCGCACATCAAGCAACGAGTGTAAACAAAGACATCGCATTAGTCAATTGTCTAGACCTGTCACTAATGGCATACACACCAAATACAACAAGAAGACGACGATGACGACGACGACGGAAAAAAATAAGAAGCACATGCCATTTGGCGGGCGTAGATTTTGCACGCATTAAACATTTATTAAGCCGATGGTGTTTTCCGTCGTCGTTGTCGATTGATTTTTCATCGTTTCGGCCGGCTCCGTTTTTTTTCTTTCCCGAATGGTCATTGCGCCAGTAACAGTACGCAATTCTCGTTCATGATAAATAGCATATGGACAATTACATTACCTCATATGCGACGGCGAGTTATTGCTCTGCCTATTGCTGCTGCTCCATTCGTTCGCAGCAAAATGCCATTGACCGTGAACTTTTTCCAATTGACTAGCCAAAAACCGAGAATCTATAAACCCGCTGAACACGTATTCGTTTCTCATTTGGATTTTTGTCAACAGCAACAACGCACATTTTGCCCTTCAAATCAATTCGTTCAACATCCATTTTTCCACATCAATTTTGATGTTTAGCTGTGTGCTGTGCTGCTGTCGACCGATGCAGAACCAACAACTCAAATGAAATTAATTTAAATTCAAACACCGTACTTTCATTATTCATCTTCAAACAACCCTCAGGAAGTAAAATGAAATTGAAATTTTTTGTTTTTTAAATGCGTCCCCGATCGAAATGGGAAAAAGAACTGGTGAAACTCTGGATTGAAAGAGCAAAGTGAAAAGGCGGTCAAACGAAACGGGCCACACATTCAGCGGGAGTATTTGGTGAATTGTGTGTGTGTGTGTGTGTGTGTGTATCCCTACAATTTTAACTGTACCATATAATATGCTCCGTAAATAGTGTAAACAACGGCAGAATGAACGTTGAGCCTGGGCGATTTGCTTTCAAATGCATATATGCTTCGGTGATGTACTGGACCGCAAATAACATCCAACAATAAGCAACGAGAAAAACGAATCCGACCAATTCTCTATTGACGTATTTACATTTATATCGTGAGCCTGTTGTGATCAAAGAGCTTCCATGCACAAATATTCAACCATTTGAATTTTCTTGATTTTTTTTCCCGTGCCTCCATTTAAACTACTCACATGGCATTGTTGTTGCATTTTCCTTCTTTTTTTTTCTTCTGAATGGAAAAACCACAACGTGCTCTTTGTGGAAGAGAAAAAGGATTCGTTTTGAATACCGTTTTGTTGCTCTTTATTTTGCTTAAATAAATACTCTTTTACGTAAATTCAACGACTCAACCCGTTCACGGCCAAAACGAATTGGGAACAGAGCGTTAGAAAGAGAGATGGCAAGCCAATTCATCGGAAGTTTTGTGTACTTTTGCAATTTTGTGATGCTGATTCGAACAGAGCGGTCTTTTTTTCTATCAACCTTTTTTTTTCTTTCTCAATCACTTGAAATACATTTTTATTTGGCGACTTGATTATTCTATCATTTAGCATATATATTGTATAAAATTCAAAGTGTATTCGAATCGATGTGACGACTCTATGGAAACGACGATGATGACGACAAAGTGCAACCCATTTTGGATTGGCGATACAGTTGGAAAAATGGCAAAATTCACAGGAAATTTGCTCTCTTTCCTTTTGCCTTTACCGTTAATGGAAATCTATTGCTACTTTTGTATCAAAGCCAAAAGGAATAGAGGAGTGATGATAAAAAAAAACCCAATCAAAACTTCGTTTTGCGAAAGAGCAATTGGAAATTCAATGTTTCGCCATGTCCACTCGTCGATTGCATCGTTTCGAGTTGTGTGGAATTTAAATTTCAAATACTTTTCGATCAGTTTCTCAGTAAATCAATGTTTTTCTACTATCTCTCTTTATACAATTCGCAATTCCTCATACTCTCCGGTTGCTGTTGTTGTTATTTTTCTTTCGCTCTCGTGCTCTTACCATTTTGCTTGATTTCCATTTTTATGCCAACGATGTGATAAATAAAACATAAGCGATGAGTTCAATTCTGTGTTTTTTTTTTGTTCGTGCGGCTCGTGAAACACTGATTATAAATTCTATTTGCATCGATTGGAAAGAGCGAAAAAAGAGTATCAATTCGTAAGAGAGAAAAAAAATGAGTTGTACTTAGGAAAATGTCAGAAATTAACAAGCGATTTTTGATTTTGATTTGTTATTCGATTCTGTGCACCGAACGATTTATTAATGAATGTTTGTGTTTGACCAATGTTAACACAGGCAACAATCTTTTTTCTCTGATTCGTTTGCAAAACAACAGCAACAAAAAAAAATGCTGTACAGAAAACTGACTTTAAATACAGGCTGTAATTAGTAATTATAATCGCAATATGTTTTTCTCTTTTTCCAACTTTTTTTTCCTTCTTCTTTTTCCATTTTCCTTTGGCTCTTTGTTTATCCGTGGTAAGACAACTGAAATTAATACTCAATGAAAATCTCACCGTTATGTGTGTGTTGCGTCGTTAAATTTATGGCAGCGTCTTCTTTGAACGAACGAAAAAAAAAAATATTGAACACATGGTCGATGTACCAGGCACGTACATGTGCGAAATGTAATTTTCATATATACAAAAATATGCATGACTTCGACCGGTGTGCAAATGCGCATTTGCACTTGGATGTAATTGCATTTTCCGAATAAGACATAAAAGACGCTCATTGGCTATATATAGTATGCTAAGAGCTATGGGCTAAATTACAGGTCTTTCTCACTCCACCTAGCCGATACGATCGTTTGCATTATTGAATGCATGCATTCATTTGTCCCCTTCTTCTTCGAACCAGCGTTCTGAATCCATATCAATTTATTGCTTCCATTTTTGTCGTAATTTTTTTTTGCTATCCTGCCCTGAGATCGAAGTGGAAAACAATATTCCTATATTCAAATGCATTTTTTTACGATGCTGATTGACCCTCTGCTGCCGGTTTTTTTTTATGCTGCTAATATCAAAAGGAGGACAATTTTATTGCATTTACTTAAGCATAACATATGGAGCATTTTTCGCAAACAACCGAAGAAAAATGATGTGCAAAATGCAACAAATGGCTAAGACAAATGCATATCGGAATATGCATGCATACGGACAACTATTAATCTCGATATACAGAGCCGAATAAGAGAGAGAGTGTTTCACTGATTTATTCGGCAATCGATTCGGAGTAACAAAGGACAATGGCTACCTAAACACATACAGACAACTAATGTCATTAATTTTCCTCTCTTTCTCTCTCTCTCTCTCATTCTCGTACGCTCTCGATGGACGCGATAGTTTATGACTCTGAATCGCACCCTCAACCGACAATACACCTAATGTGTGTGTGTATGTGTCTTTGTACCCTGTGTATTTGCGCTTATCGCCCTCGCATGCTACACATTTCTGCTCCGAAATTTGGCACACGATTTCTCTGTTCACCATGGCTAACGAACGGACTCGAGAGCGCGCGCCACACCGATAGAAAACCTAAACAAAACGAGACAAGTTATCTGAACAGCAGAAGAAAAACTCGGACTAGAAGCAACGTGTGTGTTTGGGTGTACAATTAGATACGTGAATCGGATTTTGGTGTGCATGTTGAAGAGAGAGAGAGAGAGAAACGCGCGCTATGTCCGGCGATACAGAGTGCAATATCCAATCTACATCGTCATTTATATAATATAATAGCGGCAATATGTGTAATAATGCCATACTTGCGTTTCACGGTACTTCGAACTGGTTCGATGTATATATGCTCTGCTGTCTGAGATGGGCGAGGGGTGAAGTTGTGTCACGGCTGCTGCTGCTGCTGCTGTTGTTGTTTTTGTTTACTAAAATGAGTGAGTCGCTCGAGATAACAAAAACAAAATCGAACAAAACAAAAATCTATAAATAGTGGACAAGGGTCAAGCATCTATTTTTCGTTGATTTGCTCTGGCTCTTATTCTGTTTCTCCTGCTCGCACCGGCGCTCGATTCAAACAATTGTGTTCGCTCGCGTCCATATGAACATCTGTGTGCATTTACATCTTTATCCATTTCAGGAGGAAAAACGTTTTTTTTTCGTCTGTTGTTTTGTTTTTATTTATTCCTCAATCTCTCTCGTTCTCACTATGCTTTTGTCGTCGATGGTGTTGATCGGGTGCTGGGCTGTTACGGTATTGGTACGTTGTCCGTTTCGGGGACTAAACAAAAATGCAACACAATCATCTCTCGAGCATTCGAACAACGCTGACACATTTGTCATGAGCGCGAGCGGGGGTGAAAATATGTTTCCTATAAATATAAATAGACAAAGTTTCAGCACTAACCATTCATCGAGCACATACCAAAATCAAGCTTTATTGTCAAACAGAGCCTGTGGTGTATCCGCTTGATTCGTTTTGTTTTGTTTCGTTTGTCAGTTGAAAACAGAAGAGAGAAAAAAAAATTTGACCGAATCTGAGCTCTCAATGTGCTTATAATTGCCTAC